TGGTGCATTTCCACTGTATTTTCGTGTGAACTCCCCTGCCTTCACATTTATGTTGGGCAATTAGTCTGGAGTGGGTTGGAACGTTGGCTTTTTCCTTATTTTCCAGCATCCCACCATCCCAGCATCCCAGCATCTCGGCATCCCAGCTGCTCTCTAGCTCTCTGGCTCCGGCTTTCCCCTCCGCCTCCGATGGCTGGCCTCTAATGAGCGGCAGCCTCCGTCTAGCTTACATCTTTTAATTTATTTATTTTTAATACGCTGCACTCGGCCGTCTGCAAAATTTTACAACTCAATAAATTGGCAAAAAGCTGGTCTATCTGCCCGATCCAATCATATGTTGGCAGTATGGCAGTATGGTGTGCGCGCAATTATTGTTCTAACGGCATTTCAAAGCAATTTAGTGCCGCCTTTTTGGGTGGGCAGCAAGTCCAATGACCGCTTGCGCGGTCCAAAACTGCATTGTCCATGGATTCCCCATGACTATATATATATATCTATATATATATGAATATATATATATATGGCCTACCAACTTTGGCTGCCAATTTCAGTCTGCGTGCGCCGCCAGCAAAGAGTCCATGACTTTGGCCACGAAACTCGGGAACTTCAGAGCTCTGGCCATAGGCCGACGCCGCACACAAAATCATCAACATAAATTTACTTTTAGTGCGTTGCGGCGAAACGCGGAGGGAGAAGCATGTTTTGGGGAATGGGTGTTGAAACTCATAAAGAGAAGCGCCGCTTTTGGCCATAAAATTGACAGCTTATGGCCGGGAAATTGATAAAAAAAGAAATAGCAGAGAGGAATACAATGGACAATTTAAACAGAACTAAAACTATACATTACGATCGATTTTAGATACTATTAGAAAGGACATACACGATAGTTTTAATTTGAGTGTATTTATGGTTTTTAAATTGTTAACTTAATGTGAGCAGAAATTAGAGGGGAGAAAAAGTATTCAAGTGAGAAAGTAACTTTGTTTATATATGAAATATATTCAATACGAAGAGAATTTAAGCTTTTTTTAAATATTATTTTGCTTTAATGGCTGTATCTTTTACAGTTGCTTAAGAATAAATATATATAAGAATATATATATATATATATATATATTCTTGATCAGCATCATGATTGGTTTGGCCGTCCGTATGTCCGTTTTTATGCGATATAGTGTATCTGTTTTAAAGCTATCTGAACGATACGATACTCTCACTAGTATATAAGTAGGAATAGCCCGGATCGAAAAACTATAACATATAGCTGCCATAGGAACGATAAAGCTATTTCGTATTATCATATTGCGCTTGCTTGCTCTGCCTCTATCCCTCGCTCCCTCTCTCTCTCTGCATCTTAAGAGGCATGCCTGTCCATAGAGATACTGCTTGCTCTCTCTCTCTCTCTCGCTTTCACTTTCTCTGTTCTCTTTACTTGGAGAGTATAAATACAGGCCCAGCAGCAGCTCTGGCCTCATTCTGTCCGCGGCCTCCGACCTGTTAACATCGTTAGTGATAGTGGAAGTGATAGGGATACCAGCACAACATATCTTAATAACCATGGATGTTCTAGCTTTGCTATTATTTACCAGGTAATTGCCTTGTTGTCATATTTATTTTATTAATATTACTATTACTATTAATTTTAGTTTTAAGTGACGCAGCAATTTGTATTAGAAATATCTAGAAACAAATATTTAAAGTTATTAACCTATCTTTATTATAAATTATTGACTTCTTACTCTTACGATAGTTTCAAAAATTTACCCTGACTATTATAAATTCAGTAAAATGCTTAAAAAAAGTGAAGGAGTCTTTTCCGACCCCATAAATTATATATATTCTTGATCAGAATGAACAGACGAGTTGATCTAGCTATGTCCGGCAAACAAATTATTTTTTTTTTAAATTTGCACATTTTTATAAGGGGTTAAAATAAAACTAATTGTCAGAAATTTACAAAATTTTCAATTTTTTTAAATTTTTAAATTGAGTATGTATATTTATTAATCTAACAAAAACGAACACGGGACAACTATTCGAACGAAAATAAACGAATTTTGGCTTAGTTATACGTTTTTTAGGCTTTGTATTTTTGGAATCCTTTTCTCCCTTAAGACACACACTGCGTATACTTAATTTAAGTGTTTTCACATTAAGTATACAACATGTATGCCAGCTAACTAATTAACTGCATGAACTGTAATGAATAACCAGACCTATGGCAAGACTAAATATTTTAACGTGGCAGTATTTGTAAGGAACATTTACAAAATATTTTAATACGATTTTAGGGTATTATAACATTAGTTAGAAGCTTGTAATCCTGTTAACGAGTCATTTCCGACCCTAAAAATCATATATATTCTTGATAAGCATTAACAGGCGATACGATCTAGCCACCCTTTGAAGAAAATACTTTTTTTTTTGGCTTAGATAACATGATGGATTCGATATTTTTCCATGAAATAAAATACAATAATTCAGTTTGTATTGTAGATATTATCTACTCCAGATTAAAGATTCAATTTCAGTTATGTGTTTTCAGTCTTAATTTATGCATTTAGAACAATTTTGTGGGCCTCAGCACCTATTTGGTGGTTTTAATTATTTTCTGTTTCCATTTCTTTTTGTTTCGTTATCCAGCCACTTATCAAGCCTGGGCTAATTTGTTGAACGCGCTGCGCCGAAGAAAGAAAATACATTTTTTAATGAATTTCTTTGTTTTTCGTCTCTTTCTATTTTCAATATGCAAACAGAGAGGGAGAGAGGGAGGGAGAGGGCCGAGCGAGTGGCAGTCAAAGCGGCGTTAAATGTTTCCCTGGCCGGGGAGTACCGTTGTGTGTTGTGTGTTGTGTGTTGTTCGTTTGTTCGGTGTTTGTTGTGCGTTATGGTTTGTTGATTGCCGGCGACAACTTCCGACGCACTGCGGCAACAGCGGCAGCGGCAGCAGTGGCAACATCAAGAACTTACACTAAAAACAATTCAAGCAACAGGTCGATTTTTAGAATTTTTATAATTTGCTATTACTTTTCTGGGAAGTCGAGTTAGGAATGCTTTTTAATATCCATTCATAAATATAGCATCTATGTTATAATAAGGTATCATTTCATGTATAACTTTTGAACGTTTTTATTATTATTTATGAAATATTATTATAATATCATAATAAATTAGATCATTTTAAAATATAAATTTATATAGAATTAATTTGATTAATTTGATTTGATCTATTTAATATTTAAATTTGATTACTTTGATTACTGATATATTAAACTCGATATTTGTAAAGATTTATGTGATACCGTTGAATTATCTTTTTATGGAATTCTAAATTTAAATAAAATTAAGATAAGATACTGATTATTTAAAAAAAATAAATATGATATTTAATATAATAGAACATACATGTGTCTTGAACTAAAGTTCATCATCGGTTCGGTTTTAAACTCACAGAATTGAACAAGCCCTCAGATTTTAAATATTTTTATATGTCCCTAAACAGAAATGGCTAACAAAAGAGATAAAAATTTCTCTCTCTGCATTCCCAAAAACACTGGACGCTCCATTGCGGGTGGCGGCCGGCAAGTGGTTCGTTCCCGTTCTGGGTTCTGAGTTCCCTGGTCTTTGGGGAACCACAAAAAATAAGAAAAAAATAATATTATCCAAAAGAACCGGGTTAGAATAGCCCAAAAAGGCTAGCCGAAAAGTGTATTTAATTTAGCAGTTAATTAAATTTTCTACACTTTGAAAGCAAGCAAAGAAATGAAAATAAAAATGCGAAAATATACAAAATTCTTGTGCTCCTCCTTTGTTTTAATAACTTTGATTGGTTGCGCACAGCCCGGGGCAAAGTTTTGTGGTTATATTTTGTGGCAAAAGCGGGGAGCACGGGTAGCCGGGTAGCAGGGGAACTTGGTCATAAAAAAAGGAAATTGGTAGAGATGACAACACCTGCTAATGACCCAAATTGGTGACTGCAGCCAGACCACTGGAAAAGCTAATGGCCAACACCTGCTGTTTGCATAATTTTATTGCCTGTTTGGATCCAGCACTCCTTCTCCTTCCCCCTTTTGTTTATTTTTTGTTCTCATTTTCATTAATTGGAATTTCTTTGGAGCCAGTTGAGTCCCGCGGCTTGTGGCAACAACAACTGTGTGTAGTTTCCTTTGGCTTCTTGTCTTTTGTCGCGCTTGAATTGCCTCCGCAGCGGGGGAAAAGCCATCAAAAGAAACAATGAACAAATGAATTAATAAAGTTATGAAATCACCGAAAATGGCTAAGAAAAAGGTTCACAATTGATTCCGCTGGAGGTTGCCCCGCCGATCGAACAACCGCATTCAATATCCATTTTATATATTACCTGGGTGTGGGGGCCTTACTACATATATATTTTTCTATTCACTCTTGTGGCCGGGTGGGACCAAAACAGTAGCCGGAAAACAATTCAATTGTTTCGCGATGGAGTAATTACAATTTGTGAAAATAATTGAGGCCAGCGCGGATAGCAGACATGTTTATCTGTCACAATTGCAGTGGGTCAAGTCTGTGGGTCTGGTCCAAAGCGATTCAATTAACCGAAGCCCAAGACAATCGATTTCTTCATGAATTGATTCATGATGATAAGCCGCATAACGCTGGCCATCTGTGTCTGAGTCGGATTAGGTTGAATATCTCTAACCTGGTGGCTTGTAATTAATGCATTTATTATTCATTATTTATTTCTTATTGATTGCCAAAGGTATGAGGTCACTTGCAAAGCTTTAACTTTGTAATTTAATAGGAATAGCTTCTGAGGGGAGTTTACTCATTTAATGTAATTGTAATTGTAACTGTAATTGGGAGCTTTCAAGAGGCACTGTGATCCCGTACGCTCTCTCTTCCCCTCCCTCTTCCCCTCTCTTTTTCTCTCACTATCACTCTCTCTGAGCTTGCAGATCGTAGTAAGCTCTCCCACGCTATGTTCCACTTACTTGTAATTAGTTCTCATTTGCATACGGTTCAATAAACATAATCCATAGCGCGTCGCGTAAAATAAGAAAGTCACGTGTTTTATAAAGCGCAATATAAAGTTATAAAGTAAAAGGCGATCACACCAAACATATAACTAGCTTCTCAAGTGTTAAAATCAAGTGTTTAGCAAATCTTGCAGAACTTTTTGTCACTTTATTACAAGCACGTGCTAATTAATCTCTTTGTAAAAAAAATTTCTTGCTAACTTTAAAGTTTCTAAAGTCTTTGAATTAATATCATTTCCTTTTTTTCTGATATATATAAACTACCTTACTCAACTCAAACTCAAGCTAATTGTTGCAATTGCACTTAATGAAGTCATCAATCGCGGGAGGAAAAGTATTTCAATTCATTTCCCGGCAAAGAAGAGTGAAAATTTGACTCAATTTGGGCAAACACTTGAAACTGTTTATTTATTTATTTGCTTATTTATCAGCACGCCATGGCAACCACCCACAAAAACCGAAAAAAAACACACAAATCCACAAAAGTTCAGACTCTTAAGAGAGTGTGTGTGTGTGTGTGTGCCAGAGACAGCTGTTCTGCCGGTATAACAGTATAACGGCTGAGAGCCAAGAAAAAAGGTAAACAAACCGGCTGTTGCAGTTTTACTTCCGACCAAGTTAAAGAGAGTGGCTAAGAGAGCGAACCGAAGAGAGGCTGCCAAAAGATATGGCCAACTCATTTAGGGGGGATTTTAAAGCAAAGAATCCGTCCAAATAATCCAGTTAATTGGCAACATTTGTTACTCGATTGTGGCCACAAATTGCCTTGGACTTTTTCGTTTTTGGCTGTTGGCCATATTTCTACTACTATTTTTTGGTGTGTTTTCTACTACCAAAGAGCAGCAGCAGCAGCGTAGTAGTAGTAGTAGCGACTTCGGGCCTTTAGCCGGCGATGCACGAAAACCAGTTCGTGGCTATCTCTGCTTCTTGTTAGCCATCAACGCTTCAGCTCTGGCAGCGGGCAGAGCGTCGCTGTCTTGGCCATTTCAGTTGAGCTTTGCCAGCCGAACGAAAGAGTCGAACTCGCCGCTGCGTCTGTCTGTTAGCGTGTTCTTCTGGTCTTCCCAATTCAAACAAAAATTCAAACTCGTGTTCGCGTTAACTGAAATCGGAAAAGAGCCAACAAGAAGTAGTAGCAACAGCAGCAGCAGGAGCAGCAGCAGCAGCAGCAGCAGCAATATTGCAGCAGCTACAGCAGCAGCATCAAAATCAAAACACGTTTTACTCCCGCACATTGAAAACGGTAATTTGAACCCCGCAAAAAGAAACCAAAACAAAAAAGCAAAACAAAATTGTTGAATTAATTATAAACAACGGTAGCCTGTTTGCTGGCGAATTTGCTTGCAATTTATGAACAGGTAAATACGTAAAACATCAAAAACCTCTTCACAAATGTGTTGAATTAATTAATAAGAAGTCAGATCAGAGTTTATTATTAAATAGTTTTCGAGTGTACTTTAGTAGCTTAAAAGATAAATTAATTTAGAAATATTTGAAAATATGTAGTTGAAAGTGTAAAGCATGAAAATACCTAATGCACTCTTCAGAAATTTAAATGCTCACTTTGGCAGCCTCTTTTTCCCAAACGTTTTTTTCAGCATTTCTGCTTGTTTTCGTAGAGATTTCCCTTTGGAAAAAACCGTTTTTAAAGCCAGTGAAAATTGAAATGTGCCCGGAGTGTGTGTGCTTGTGAGATGGCTGCCTTCTAAACAGCCTTGAAAGCTGCCTCACAGCCTCTGTCAACCGAATAGTTGCAGCAGCAGCAGCAGCAGCAGCATCAGCAGCAGCCACAACTGGCAACAAAAGCGTCGCAAGTCACAACAAAAGAAAACAGAAGCGACTGTGGCAGCTGACTTTATGACGTCGCCAGGCCTGGCGTGTTAACCTGGCCAAGAGCAGCTACCTGGCTAGACACGAGAGCTGCTGCTGCTGCTGCTGCTGCTGCTGCTGAAGCTGGTGCGGTGTCTATCTATCTGTTGCAACTGCAACCTAAGCGCTGCTCACCAACACCAAAAGACCAACTTAAAACCGAAATGCAGCGCCCAGACTAAGCACACACATGAATTTTCGCTTTTGTTTTATGATTTTCATAAATTCTTCAACGGCAAACAAACGAACAGGAAAAAAGTTTATATTAAAACGAAGAAAATAGCTAAAAGCGCGCAAAACCCAGGAGAAGAAAAAGTCGCTGTGTGTGTTTGCGAGTGGAAAAACCGGTTGCAGTTAAGGTTCTCCTTGTGTATATGTGTGTATATGTGTCTGTGTTTGGCTCTTTTTTTTGCGCTTGGCACAGGGCGAAAATAAATAAAAGCGATTAACTTGAGACAGTTTTAGTAGCCACTGTCCCCCGCTCAGCACTCTCTCTCTCTAGCCCTAAAGTTCCCTAGATAAAGCCCTAATCCGACCCGCAGTCCGGCTGGAAAATGTTGCGGGAAAACCAAAGGGGGGAAAAGTTTGTCAAGTTGAAAGGAAAATGTGAAGACATTTGTTTGCCGGCTCAGTTTTTCATATTTTAATTATCCTCCGAGTTTATTAAGATGAAAAGGAGTTGGGTTTTCTTTTATTCAATTATCTGTTTGTACTTTTAATTAATTAAGTAATACATTTTCGTTAAATACTACAAGTTAAATATTAGTAAAGTATAAGCTAATAATCTTTTATTAATCCCTATTTAATTTTTAATTTCCCCATTTATTTATTTCCTTTATTTTCTTTATTATTTCCAGTATTTCCCATACACAATTTGGAATACAAATAAAGCCAATACAAAAAAAGGATTTAATAATTTTCAACCAAATTTTTTAATTTCATAAATATTTGTGCTTGTGTTTCTTAACGAAAAAAGTGTAGAGGCAAGAAAAATAATATGGAAAAATGCGTTTATAAATATTAATATGTTTGGTTTTGAATATTTGTGTGTCGCCTTTACTTTCGACGTCGGTATCGTTTTTGTGTGTCGTTATTTTGCATTATTAAATTATTAATTACGATTAAAAACCCGTCAAGTGGAAAGCAGAGAGCAAAGTCAAGGACAACATTATTGGACCAAAACACAAAGTGAGTTATCTTTGAAATGCGTTTAATTACAAACCAAGTATTCGCTGGAGACTCTTTAGCTAAATTTTCGAAAATTTCAATTTGGAAATTTGCAATTAAATTGGATTGTGTCAGTCCCACTCCCATGGATATCACTCGTGTAAAGCCGTCTAATCAGCATCTTTCAATTATTTAATAGATTGTATTTACACACACACAGCACACACTCACAGCACACACTCACTCCACACACTCATTCCAACTCTCGGCAGCTCTTTGCAAATATCACGCATACGACACGGTATCCCCGATAAACGTGCCTCGCATGCCTGAGTGCTTTCTGCGGAGCGAGTCAATTAAAGTCGCTGCGAAGTGATTTTTCGACTCCCAAATAGGAACTAAAAGTGACGTTTTAAACTCTAATTTCAAAGGCACCCAATGATTGCTCCCGAAAACAAATATCAACAGACATTTGCATAAAGTCGCACCCCTTCGGCTTTATTATCGTATTTCATAGTTTTCTGCCTCTCTGTATGTATATTCAAAAGCCAATTGGGCAAAGTTTTTTATTGGAGCTGTGCATTTGCCAAATATGCAAATATGGCCAACGGAAAATATTTTTGTTTGACAGTTTCTGCTGGCATTTTATCCGTTTTTGTCGCATTTTTGTGGCAAATTAAAATGGCAGCGAATTAATCATAAAAAAGGCGTACAGTTTTATGCACAACATTTATTCGGCAGCTGTCGATAGAGTAGAGAGGAAGTGCGGTACATAAATATAAAGCGATTGTCGGAGAGGGAATATATTTCACAAAACATTAAATAAAATATGCAGAATAAAGTGGACTAATAGTAATAGTAACACCTGAATCTCGGAGACTATAAAAGCTAGAGTTACCTACTTTTTTTAATATTTCCCAGTTGAATATATATACATTGAACTTACATTTATAGCCCGCACTGTCCACCTGACTGCATAGGCGAAAATATGCGTACAAATGAGATACGTGGGCTTCGGTTGGCTTAGGTCGAATCAACTTGATTTATGTAAATTGGAAACTGTTCGCATAGCAAAACAAAGTTATAATTGAGAGACGATATTAAAATGCATTTTTTGATTGCGCATATAAACAATACTACATAAATCATAAGAAATGTAATAGTTGAAATATATACATAGTTTGCTTTTCTCCCGAAAATATATAAATGAAAAGTAAAGGAAGGCCTGGCATAATCCTGCGGTAATCCCCGAGAAGGAGCCTGTCTTCGCAGTGGGACTTGAATGCCGGAACAGAAATGCAATTAAAATCCACTAAATGCAGCAGAATGAAATGAAAATCGGTTGGGAAACTTCTCCAACTCATTTCCTTCCACTGCTAATTAATTTGGCATTAATTTTAATGCAATTTGTGTGCTTATCTCAAATGCCAATAAATCAACCCAAATGCAATACTATAATAACTCATATTTGCTCAGTCTTCGGTTAATTAATAATATAAAAAAATACAGGCAATACCATTTACGCAAAGGTGGGGGAAAAATAATAATGAATAAATTGCGTAGATCAGAAATTGAAGCATTTCGGCCCTGTCGAGTGTTAAATTGAAGATAATTTTTAATTATGGCCACAGTCAGTCGTCGCTACGCGCACTTTAAATTGCCTTTTAAAATTCAATTTACATTTCGGGTTTGCTTTTCCGTAAAGGGTTCCAGGCCAAGCATCATTAACTTTCGAGGGCTTACAGAGGAGTTACAGAGCAGTAACAATAGTTAAAGTACCAATAATTCAATTATGACTTAATTCCTCAGTATCTCATCCAACTTCTCGATCTCCTCTCGCCAAAAAATCAAAACTGACGGTCTCGACCTGAAAACCGGAGTTGCCTCGGAATAAAAACAATAACACGCATGTGCGTAAGACTTTGGTAACTTTGCTGGAGATGGAGATGGAGATGGAGATGGAGATGGAGTTGGAACTGGGGGAGATCTTGTAGAGCTCCGAAGTCTCTCTCAATCTCTTGTTCGCTACAGGAAGCTGCGTGGCTTCGGCATTTAAAAACGTATTAATTCTGACGCGCCGCGGAACGTAGTTTTGTTATTGTTTATGGCTTATGGTAGTTGCGTGAGCCGACACTGATGATGGTATCTGTGGCTCTGGATCCGAAACCGAATCTCTGGCCTGGCGTTCTTCCCTGATATAAATGCGAATAGGTTACGTCAATTCTTCTGTTTTTTGTGTTTTTGCCACTCCTCTGTGGAGGTACTTCATCTTGTATATGAGAACACCCCCTCCAAGTTGTCGAACTCCCCGCTTGACGGGCGGCGGGGCTGGTTCTCCCGAGGTTCTGTAAGGTCTACAACCTTGGGAGAGTTAAGTCAGCTTTTCTAGATCTTGAGCTGGGAGCTGTCACTTCAACTTCAGAGACATGGGAGAGATGCTCTTCGTTGAAGGGGTATATCAACTATTATTATAATATATCATATTTTTTTATATTATATTTTAATATCAAATCCACAGTATACAAAAATTATAATATTTAAAATGTGAAATATCAATACAGCACGAACACAGCTTCGATATAATTATACCCTTGGAGGGTATTATAGCTTTAGTCAGAAGCTTGTAACAATGTGAAGGAGTTGTTTCCGACCCTATAAATCATATATATTCTTGATCAGCATGAACAGGCGAATCTTTCTAGACAATTAAGAAGTACACACATTTTTGAAAATTTTTTCAACATTTTTTAAGGTGTTAATATTGCCAGAAAAAAATGAAAAAAATTGAATTTTTTTACATTTTATTTTGAGTACGCAGATTTATTACCCAAATAAAAACTAGCATAGGACTGCCTTCCGAATTAAAATTAATTAATTTTTGGCTTAGTTATGAGTTTTTTAAACTTTGATTTGTTCAAGAAATTGTCGTATAAAAATATATATATCATATGTGAAATATGTGAAGGAGTCATTTCCGACCATATAAATCATATATATTCTTGATCAGCATCAACAGGCGAATCTTTCTAGCCATAAAGGAGAGAACATAAATTTTTGCCAATTTTTTCAATATTTTATAAGGGGTTACATCGTTAAAATTGGCAAAAATTGTGATTTTTTTACATTTTAAACTGAGTATGCAGATTTATTACTACTACTAAAAACTAGCACAGGGCTGCTTTCCGATTTAAAATTAATGCTTTTTTGGCTTAGCTATGAGTTTTTTAAAATTTAAATTTGTGGAACAAATTGTCGTATAAAAATATAAATAATATCGACTAAAATATGGTATTTCACCTTCAGTCGGAAGCTTAAAAGAATGTGAAGGAGTCGTTTCCGACCCTATAAATCATATATATTATTGATCAGCATCAACAGGCAAATCTTTTTAGGCATTAAAAAAAAGAACATAAATTTTTTAAATTTTTTTTTAAATTTTAGAACAGGTTTTTACATTGTTAACATATTGAAAAACGGAAAAAAATTGATTACTTAAAATTTAATTTGTTGGTATGCAGATTTTTTAACCTATTAAAAACTAACACGGACCAGCTTTCCGAATCGAAATTAATGCATTTTTGGCCTAGTTATACGTTTTTTAAGCTCTGGGTAATAAAATCATTTCAGATTTCCTTTTATTGTATAAAAACTTCAACTTCCCGAAGTTAGTTTCCGTTCTTTTCTGTAATTATTTAAGAAAATTACTCTTAAAAATATAATGCATTAAAGGATAAGTAATATTTGAATTAATCTTACTGCAAAACTCTATTTATTTCCATGAGTTGACTTTATAGAGTGTCAAAGTCTTCACCAATCTCTCTTTGATTTACTGCTTCAGTTTAATTATTGGCGCATAATTAGCTGCTATAAAACTGATTGGTTTCTTCTTCTATTTTCTTTTTTATGACAAATGATGTGAAGATCAGAAGTCGGTCCAGTGATGTGCGAGTTAATATTTGCATAAATATTACATATATTAATGCTAATGAGGCATCAAATGTTGGCGATTAAGGGCCAGAAGCCAATGACCCGCAGCGGAATTAAAACCTGGATTGATAGAATTTCTTGGTCATTTCGAGAAGGCCAAAAGCCGGCTGACTGGTGTATGTTTTGGTGTTATAAAACATTTCATTACACGATACAATTGAGTGAACGCCTTGAACTTCCGCTTCAGAAGAAGTTCACCGCAGTTCAGTTCAGGCCAAAAAGCGAACCAATGAAGTCGGAGTGTTTTTGTTTTTTTTTTCGAGCCAGTTTTGTGGGACTTTTCTTCTTGTTGTTGTTACTTTTTTTTCGTTTAGTTTTTTTTATTGTTGTGGTTGTTGTTGTTGGGGGGAGGCAATGGAATGACAAGACGAAGACGAAGACGAAGACTCCACAACAATCCCCACAGTCACTTTTGTGCTGAGTTGTATCTGTGTGGCGGAATCTTCAGTTGTTGTGGTTACACGGAAAGAAAATGTAGGAACTTGATATGATTGATACAAATAAAAAGGGGATTTTCTATTTCTTATATATTTTAAACAAAAATCAATGAGTTTCCTGATCTTTTATACGGATGATTATATTAGTTTATCTTGCTTAAATTATTTCTACCTCTGCATCTGTGTGAAGCCATGTTTCACACTTCAGAGGGCCTATCGGCGGCCGCAGCAGGCCAAACAAATTGTAAAGTCAAAGGCAAAAGACGAAACCAGCCACAAGTTTAAGAGCAATACCAAGACCAAGACCAAGACCAACTCGAAGACCAAAACTCACAGACCAAGTCCAAGTCCAAGTCCAAGTCCATGACCAACTCCAACTCCGACTCCAACTCCAGCTCCTCATCGTGGAGTGGCTGCAGAAGGCAGACAGTAAGGCAGGCAAAAAATAAAGTTAAGCAGTACAAAAAGGCTTTTAATTTTAATTTGCATATGGCAGAACGCGCTCGAGCGGAGCTCCAGAACCGTGGCAGGAGAAGTAGAACCCAACTATCTTTAAGATACTTGCAGCACTCGCTCTCGCACTCTTATGTACAATAT